CGCAGCCTTGGCCGAGGCCGATCCCCCCCCCCCCCCCCCCCCCCCCGGGGCCGCGAGGCCGGCGCGTGGTCCCCCTGCTCTTTCCCCCGGCGGGCCGCCCCCCCCCCCCCCCGCCCCGCCCCCCCACCCCCCCCCCCCCCCCCCTCCGGGGGAGTGGTGCCGGCGCTGTGTTGCCGGTGTCTTTTGCCGGGGGTGTGGCCCCCCCCCCCGCCCGGGGGCCGCCCCCCCGGCCCCCGGGCCCCCCCCCCCCCCCCGGGAGGGCGGCCCCGTTCCCGGCGCCCGGGGCACAGCGGCCAGCCGCATCGGCGCCCTGCCGGAATGTGCGCATCTCCCTTTCTGCTCCTGCTCCTGTCCCATTTTGAGTCAGTGCTCCTGGGGGGCGCTCTGGGGGAGGGGGCAGGAGGAAGAGGAGCGAAGCGGGGGCCTCTTTCTCGGCCGTATCCGGTTGCGCACGCGGCGCCGTGTGCTTTGCCTGCCCTTTGCCCCCCCCCCCCCTCGTCTTCTCCCTTTCTCTCGATAAAAAATACTACACAATTCACATTTCCCTACTGACACCAATATATGAATGTGACCAAATGGCCGTGTGGCATGAGGGGCGTGGGGTTCCTCTGTGTCCTTCGTGAGCGTGAGTCCGTTTTCTTCCGCGCATCAGGCACACTTCGCCCGCATCGGTGTGTTGATACCGCGTCTCTCGAATTGTCGGGGGCGGGGTCGATCGCGCAGGCGGTCACGCCCTTCTAGATCACGCGTATGTTTCTCCCCCAGCAGAATCGCCAGAACCTGCCGTGAGGGGCAGGAGCTGGTGCCCCCCATGCCCTGTGGTGTTTCCCCGAAGGTCGGACGGCGGGCGGGGGGCGTGGAGTGAACATGGCCCGGCTGGCGCCGGGATGGGGGGGGGGGGTCTGCTTCGTGCGGCTCACAGCGCGCGGAGGCGGCGGCCGCGGGGATCGGTGTGGCCGTGGGTGCCTGGCACATCCGAGGCTGGTCGGCCGCGAGGGGAGCCTCAGGCCCCCGGCTCCGCGGCGTTGCCCTCCTGCCCCTTGAGACCCTCGGGGGGCTGGATTGGTCTGGGCATCCCCGTCTCCTCCCCCCCCCCCGGCGTCCAGGGCGGGCGCTATCCCATCCGAGCACATGGGGACCTGGGGCACCAATCGGGAAGGGGGCACGGGGGCTGACGATCTGTCACCGCACCGCCGGCCCGGTTCTCTGCCCGCGGTGTGGTTGTTCCGGGCGCCCCTTCCGGCC